GGGGGGGGGGGGGGGGGTTGGAGGTCTTAAAATCAGTTTAAAGATAGAATTAGAAGAACTAACAAATAAAAGAAAAGAGTCTTTCAGGGAGTATTGAGAAAGAGTTGAGGTTCAGTTTTAAAACGATAAACTTCAAGTGATAGCTGTTGGTACCTGTTGTTTGGTATTTGTAGTGGTTGTTTGCTGTATTGTATTGCTACTGCTGCTGCTGATCCTCTTCTTCCTCTTCTTGTATCGTCAATACCAGGTACACTTCGAGACTTTGATGTAGCATCTCGTATCGGATGTGAAATAGAAATGAAGCAAGTTTCCTGCTGCGGAATTATAGTGAAAAACTTCTGTTACATATATGGATAATTTGCTTATGATGCGTGTATTTGTCCACTGTAGTTAAGTATTCTGAACTCCAATGGACTGTGATGGACTGTTTGTTTTAACTTGTGGACTGTGGAGGACTGTTATAATAGATTCTAGAATTTAGAACATCAATCTGATTTAGTTAAACTAATTAGATGTGTATTCCTGGAAGCATAAGAGTTCTATAGCTAACAATCTGATTTAACTTGTGTTGATTAATGGAATCTCAGTTTGCTATCATATATATTCCACTAAATTATTTTTCTAGGATATAGTTGACTTTGAAATCAGTATGACAGCCACTTTAAGTTTGATGGCCCGGAATTCATTGTTATAGTATAAGTGTTGGTAATTCTGGATTAATAGTTCATAGCAGTAGTTAATCGAATTGAACATGCCTTATTAATAAGACTGCTTTGAATCTGCTCATGGATGTTAGTAGAATCAAATAATTGAGCTGTTTAGTCCAAAACTCGATCCCTCATTAGGAATCGCCATTAGTTAAACAGGTGGAGTAAGCTGAATTTAAATATGAGATTCAAATGATCAATTGTTCCTTAGTTTGAGTAGATAAACGTGATTCTCCCTTCTCATAATTTGTTGAGTGCACGTTAAATAACTTGAAGTTGTTCCAGTGATTCTGCGTTCAACTAGAATTGAAGCTGAGGTTAGTGGTCCACTTTGGACATTTTGGGCTTCGGTACTGTCACAAACGGCCCAGGTCTAGCTCTGATTGCATGTTCATTTGGACCTGGGCCCAGATCTATAGTTGGTTTGCTCTTTGTACACACTTAGATAAGGGTCTATTTATACGGACTGCATTCAGAACCTAAAGCGAATAAAAATTTGATTTCGTATGAGTTCAATAGGCCCAGGTCTTCTAATTCTTAAATAATGCAAAACTAATTAGGATCTTCTTCTTTGTTTTAGAGGCAAAAAAAATAGAAAATTATAGATTGCTTTAGGATTGGGCCTTTAAATAAAAATGATGAGACGAGCCTCGCCGAGTAAAAATGCAAGTTGTGGGGCCCTCAATGAATGGTTAAAATAAAACATTTAGAAATCGGGACGGGCTATTTAGCAAATTTTACGGCCTTCCCCAAAATAATAACGCGTTAGTCTCTTTAGGCATGTATTTTAATAACATTACCTCCCTAAACTCGGGTGCACATTTATGTGACCAAAATCCAAATCTCAACGAAAGTCGAAACGTGTCGCTAATCACGGGTACATTGATTGNGCCCTCTATACGTGTTGGTAAAATTACTTAGACTTCGGGATGGGCCGTTTAGCAAAATTTCACGGCCCTACCCAAAATAATGATACGCTAGTCGCTTTAGGCGCGCCTTTAATAATTTACTTTCTTAAACTCGGGTGCACACTTATATGACCCAAATCCAAATCTCAACAGAGTTGAAATGTGTCACTAACCACGGGTGCATTGATGTGACGTGGTTCGAGATGTATTTTCACGACGTTGCAATTCTCGTTAAAAAGTTAAAATTTGCAAAGTTTCAGCATGTATTAAAACCAGATAAATAAGCCGAATATGACAGTTGAGCGACCGTGCTAGAACCACGGAACTCGGGAATGCCTAACACCTTCTCCCGGGTTAACAGAATTCCTTATCCGGATTTCTGATTCACGGACTGTAATACAGAGTCAATTTTTCCTCGATTCGGGATTCAACCGGTGACTTGGGACACCATAAATCTCCCAAGTGGCGACTCTGAATTAAATAATAAATCCCGTTTCGATTGTCCTTTAATTGGAAAAACTCCCTTTGCGCCTTTGCGGGGCGCGGGTAAAAAGGAGGTGTGACATGCATTGTAACCAAATACAACAAATTTGGAATCTTTTCTGAACATGAGTGGAGTTCATTGAGTGATGCCAAGGAATGTGAAAGACCTACTGCTATGTTGGCAATACCAGAAAGTCAGGAAAGATCTGAAGAAAATCTGGAAGACTATACCCCTCCGCATCTTTTGGACCATTTGGTTGGAATGGAATAAGAGATGTTTTGAGAATCAAAGAAATCACCTAGCTTTTGTAAAGAATAGTTGCCTTCAAAATTTGTATTTCTGGTGTAAAGGAAATATAGTTGAAAACTTAGATCAGTTTATAGATTTTATAGGTATTTTGGGAATGTAACTGATGTAGATATGTTGTAACTTGTAATTTTTTGGGTACCTTCTTGGTACTCCTTTAATGAAACCTTTACCTTATCAAAAAAAAAAAAAGATACCAAAATAGTGTTGAAGTTAAATTGGCTATTGGTTAGACACCAAGAGCACAAATGAAATTCTTCAATAATTAAGAAGCTAAATTCGCTATTATTGTTGAAATGTGTGCACCACCTTATCTAAGAGTGTATGGTGTTAAAGAAGGCACACTCTATTTGTTTATCTCTACAACTATTTTCCCAAGCAAAGAGAGCTATACAAAGATGTTCTCTGGAATGCTCATCCATGCAATCAACTATACATCAAAAGTCATCCAATCATTTATACAAAATTGAAGCTCAAGTTACCAGTTCTGGAGTATTTTGTTTTATCTTATTGAAGTTGGTGAAGGAGTGGTTTGCATTTTTCTCTGTCCTCGGATCTGCTGACTATTTTCTTTTCAAGTTATAGCTGTTTCTATTTAGGAGACTGAATGCATGTGTGCTCTTTTTGTTACTCTACCTTTTTAACTGTTATGAATCTAGCAGTTTCTGCTTGCATCTTTTCTCTATTGCTCATTGGATATTGCTGAAAGAGCTGTTCTTGAACTAATACAGTGGTGGAGGATCGACTACTGTTGCTCCTGTTCATGATGGATATGTTCTTCAAAAGGTATCCCTCAACAAAGAACAACTGCCTAAGTTTTTTCCGTTTTTTTCCCCTGATGACTGTAGTGTCTTCACTTAATTAAGAGTTTAACATATGATCACTTTTACCTATTTAGTTGAGCTATCTATTGTAAAATATACTACTTCCAGTTTGAAATATGACCTCTTTTCCTTTTCTTTCTTATGGAATTCTTTTGTTCAATTCCTAGCATTAGCAGAGCTCCTACTTAACAAACAGAGATCTCCATTAATGTTTGTACTTCTGACATGCGTCTGGGAATTGTTTAATTGCACTGAAGCAAATGAATTTGTTCCCGAATCTGCTAACCTCCTCTTCTCACTCTCAAAAATAAAATTAAAATAAAAAAGAAGTAATATCTATTATCTTGTTGTACTTCCCTCATGGTANAATATGAGAAGGCAGTTCTCCAAATAACTTGCTTCCACTCCCAATTGAATGCCCACTTTTATTTTTTGAGGTTCAATTTTGGAAACAGTTACTTTGTCCTGCGAAATTTAATTGAGATACTATAAAAACTTATCATAAACTTTTAAAATGCAATTGGTAAAAAAAAAACTGTTTTGACTCTGAAACAGGAAAATGAGTTACTTTAGTTGGGTCAAGGTACTATTATGAACCAAAGCAGCTTCTATCATAGATCCTTATCTAGCATAGGTATTAAATATATGTTGTTTCCTCTTCCCTCATCCAACTCTGCCCTGAAAAACTATGAATCATCTAAAATCCAATGCAGGAGATATTTACAGGGAATTGAATCTTGACCTAAGTGTAGTGAAAGGATATTAACTCTGAAGATATTGCCAACATTCTATTATGTCTTGACAGAAATGACAGTTGTTTCTTTTGTATTCCCTCAGCTATAATGTACCCTTATCTAAAAGGAAACAGAAGAAGGGAAAGGGAGCAAAAGTAACTATCCTCATCCAACAAAATGTCACTGATATATTTTGGCCATAGTCTTCGACCTTTTAGTATATATTGCTGCTTACGTTGGCAGTTGACAGAAGAAGGAAAAAGGAAAAAATTAATCTTCCTCATCTAACAAAATGTCACCGATATCTTTGGCAATAGTCTTAGACCTTTTATTATATATACTATGCTCATTATGGCAGTTTTGATTGCTTCAAGTTCCAGTGATACTATATTCTTGTATGTTTTCATATGCTTTTTTTCTTTGGTGTTTTTCTGTATGTAGTATTTTCCTTTTTTGAAGTTTGAAAGTAATATGCTGCTACTCTATTTCTTGCAGACAGTTCATATTCAAACATTCCAACGACGTCTTATGAGCTACCTGACGGGCAGTAAGTGTTGTAGTCTTCCTCTGTTTCATTGGAGAATGAGTGATTGAGTTTCCTTAGATCTTTGGTTGAAGATCTAAATGCAAAAATCGGAACCCCTTTTATTTCTTGGTTTGTAGTTTTACTCTTTCTTGGTATAACTAGAAGCCCCATGGTAGTGGTTTTCGGTCCCAGATTATTAGGCTTCAGCCGTTCAGAGTTGCTGCCTATAACCTATTTTGATTAACCTATGCCTTCTCAAAAACATGCGAGTCTCTTTCCTTAATTGGCTGAGTCCATCATTTAAACAATGTCAAGCTGAAGATAACATTCTGTATAAGTTTATATTAATTGAATTTGATGTGACATCTTTATACTTTTTCATACGACTCAAATATCTAGCGATGTCAAATATAGTAACTCATTCAATTCTCTCTCTCTCTCTCTCTGCAAAAAATCAATTAAGTCAATAAGATTGGAATTGGGGAATATTCCTTTGTATGGTTAAAATTAAGTTTCATATGCCTTCTATTTTTTTGTTTTGCATGATGAAACAGAACGATAGAAGTCGGAGCGGATAGATTCAAGATTCCTGATATTATTTTCAATCCATCATTAGTTCAGGTTGGTATTGCTTACCGTCCTAATTTTCGGGTTTCTTGTGTTGTTCTCTTATCTTGTGGGAGGCATGGTCTCATGGATGTATGTGAGCAGTTGTTTGTGCGCGACTTTCATCTTCTTCTGTGCATGATTCTGTATTTTAATAATCTTAAGATGTTGAATCTGTAATGCTTCTTGCCCTGCCTCCCCGCTGTCGTATTTTTCACTTTTTATGTATTGATCCTTCAGAAGTGGGGTATACTTATAGCTGAAGCACTCCTTGGTATGATCTGCAAGGTCCTATCTTTGCATTGCAATGATTAGAACTATATTTCAAGAATTATTTTGATGGTTAATGAGGATAGTGGACCTGGCTGTGCTAATTTACACACCTCCAGTACTGCTCACACAATTTGGTTCGATATTACCTTTTTAACTTTGCATCTCATTTCCTTGCATTTGAAGGTTCAACAAAGTTTATAGTATTTCAGGTCACAAAATAGTGGGATGTTTCTGGGGTGACAGTTTATTGTGCCATGATCTCTACCTTTGAGATTCAGATTTAGTTGTTGAATTGTCAAAGATATGTATTATTTGAGATATCAGTCTCTAATGATTTTTAATAAAGTATTTTTTCGGTGTTGTTTCTGTATAAGCATACCTATTATCTGGAGAATCTGTCATCTTGCCTTCTCAATCTAGCCGCTTCAGATTTTCTGGTTTATCTAGTCTTTTACTTTGGTGTTTTTCTTTCTGGTGCGTCACAGACTATCCCCGGTATGGAAAGTTTTGCTGAGACTGTTGCTTCTCTTCGCGGTCTACCACAAATGGTTGGTCCTTTCTCCCTTTGCTCAAATAGATAATATCAGTTGAAATTCGTCCTTCAAATTTTGTTCCTCTTTCGCATTTCCTTTGTCGTTTGGTGTAGTAATTTACTCAAAACTTTCAGGTTATCGAGAGCATTAACAAGTGCGATGTGGATATCCGAAGAGAACTTTTTAGTAGTATATTGGTAAAGCCATCAATGCTTCTTGTAATCTCTTTAAATATGAGGCTGAAGTTTCCTTTTTGCGCACTTCCCCTAATTTTTGTAGTTGCTTTTAACATTTAAATACTTGTGAAGATCATTTTATAAAAGTCAATTCTTTTAAATTCCCATTTTCACATTGTAAGCACTAAAACTGAGAGGACGCTTTCCTTCTGGAGAAAAAAAAAAAAATAGAAATTGCATGACAAAATAATTATAATTTTTCTAACTGGATGATACTCTTTATGACTTTGTAGATAAAAATTAGTATATAAAGAACAATATGAAAATTCAATGGCAGATTAGAGCCAGTGCTTTTCAAATTTATCATTGGATTAAGTCCCACACCTACGTACCACAAGCATATGGATTTCCGAAGACTGCTTTTATTTTGCTTGTTTGAATATGAAACTTTGGATGAGATTTTAGTTTGATTCACTGCTTAATACAGCTTGCTTGGGGAACAGCATCGATGCAGCAACTCAAAGAACGTCTGGAAAAGGATTTGCTAGAGGTGCCATTTCCCATTTAACTCTAACTATGCCCCTCTCACCTTTTATGCACTTGTTCAAATTCAAGGATAGCAGTCTTATCTTATCTCCTTAGCTTGAATACCTAATTTCATATCTCTGTCTGCGCTTTCTTCCAGGAGTCTCCTCAAGCAGCGAGAGTCAAAGTACTGGCCAGTGGAAATGCTACAGAAAGGAGATTCAGGTTAAACTATTACTCTGTAGTTCTCATTTCAGTCTTTCTCAGCCTCTCTTCATGGTAATAGTTCCTTTAGGTGTTGAGTGTATAAAGTAAAGGTTGAAGCTTTCAACTGTCTAGTTTGTTTTCTGGACTTTTTTCGTCTGGATGCAACATTCACGGATTGGTTTGGATTTCTCCCGATATTTGCTACTTCTAAGTTTAAAGCTGACAGCATATAACTGAAGCATTTTGCTTAGTAAAATTTCAAGTACTATTGGCATATCCTTTTTCCCCTTTCCCTTACCGTATATGTGCAGATTTGAGAAAACGGTAAACACACTCTTTTTTATTACTGCTTTTAGTAAAATCTTGAAATGCTAGTTTGAAGAGGATATATCTGTTGTTCCATAAATAATGGTTTGCACTTAGCAATTGGAGGCTTTCTTCACACAGTTCTGATCTAACAAAGGCGTTGTGCAGTGTTTGGATAGGGGGCAGCATATTGGCATCTCTTGGTTCCTTTCAACAAATGTGGTTTTCAAAGTCCGAGTAAGTTCTGCATGTTTCTTTGAAACCAATGCTACTTTTCAGTTTTGACAAGCAACAGTACTCCTAATTTTTGTTTCCTTTAAAACAGCTCTTCCTACGCCGCATAATTACAGTGGGTTTTAATGAGTACACCTTTTCATTATGCTGATGACAGGTACGAAGAGCATGGGGCATCTTACGTTCAAAGAAAATGTCCGTAAGATGATTTCTTGCCGTTCTGTTATATTTTGGTGGAAAGCACTGTATTTATTTGACTAGCATCAAGCAAAGATATTTTTCCAAGTGGACTTGCTCTGCTCAAGTCTTGTACCATTAGGAATCTGTATCACTTTATACCATTGTTCTGTAATGCACTGGTAGTACCAAGGTACATCCATATCGGACTTGCACCGATGACTGACATAGTAGGAATCTGAGTGACTTGCTATTTGTGTTAGGCTGTTAGCTGTACCACTACTGCAGCTGTTCAATGGAAATGCTAGATTAAACACCTTGTGCTAATTGCTAAGACCTTGTTCGACAACTAAGTGGACAAAGACCCCTTTGTAACAATTGGAAGTTTACCGAGGCAACACTGGCGATGGGTCAATCACGCTGCATTCCATGTCTAAAGGTTGAAAACTGGCAACCTCAAGTGATGAAGCAAGAAGTTCTAGCAAATCCAATCGAGTGGTGAAATGATTGTATGATATCTCAGACAAAAGGTGGTCTCATTCGCTTTTCGAGGATGCAATGTGTATTGTGATAACTTGTTGGGTCGAACCTTCTCTAGAGGAAGAAACAGAAAACGTTAGGTGGTTTAGGCATGAGAGATCCCATAGCTAATATGATCATTATCTTGCTTAAAGACAATAAAAAAATTGGTTAAAAAGATTTTCGTTTATTCTCATTTTACTGTGTTGGGTGGGTCACAATCCAATTGATGCTGGGCTAAGATCACTTTTAATCAACGTTCGAAATTATTTATTTCTAATAGCCGCAAGTGTCTAAATTTATATATATATATATATATATATTGTATGTATATGTATTAGTTATTATTTGAGAGCGACTATGCAATATCATTATCTTGTTGAGCTTGTAGCATCTCCATTGATATGAAAATATTTCGCTAATATTCAACAAATTAAAAAGGATAACTTTGTTATATTACCAACCTTTATCGTTATTTGTGATCATTCGTCATTACTTAGGGAAAATCACAAACAAGAATCTCTTATATTAAACATATTTGTCATTTGTAGCCTTATGCTCATGCACTTCCAATCAATTTCAACATATAATTCTTTTTTCATACAGTTAAAGCGATAACTAGAAAAACTTACATGGCTAATGGTCTAAAAAATTGTACTCTGATTTGACTTATAATCTAGAGGAGCTTAGATGGTCAAATGAGCCGACTATTTTCCGGATTGTAATAGTGTAATTTAGTAGAAATAACACCATGTAGTCGCTTTGAGCAACACCATGTAGTAGCTTTGAGCTCCTATATATAAATCATATTCAGTAAAGATTACTCAATTTTGACAAATTTCATATCGGTAATGCTTCTCTTCTTTTTTTTTTTCTTCAATGCTTCGGTCAATATGAAGTTTCAATATTTAAGATTTATTCAATTTTGATAAACGTCAAATCATTACTCTCTTTTTTCTCCTTAAAACCTTCACGTCAACTTTAAACTATCGAGTTTAAAGTTCATATAGTTAATTCTGAGGCGGTTAAAATTTAAAATATTTATAAACATGGACTTGTTATAAAATAAAGACTATAAAGTAAAGACAAGTATAGAGAGAAACTGATATATTATTCGAATTCAAACTGATGTACATAATGAACTGAAATCTCTTCTATTTATAGAAGAAAGGAAGCTGTTGTGTAAGTTGTTACTATACCAGATATGGATAATCTTCTACTGAGAGCAATGTTTATCCATAATGGAGTACTGAAAGGATAAGCTTATTATACCCGATATGGATAATCTTCTACCGGGGATAATGTTTATCCATAGCTGGGTACTGAAAGGATAAGCTTATTATACCCGGTATGGATAATCTTCTACCAGGGATAATATTTATCCATAACTGGGTACTGAAAGGATAAGCTTATTATACCCGGTATGGTTAATCTTCTACCGG